TATTGAATCAGGCTCCATGATTATATGAAGGCAAAAGGAGCTGATAAGAAACCTCTGTGTCGGGAAACAATTTGTCCCTTGAAACCCACCATTGAAGTCTTTAAGACCCAATAGTAATTGGCTCTCTCCCACTATTAATTATATTCTGGCCACTCCTCAGCTAACACAATTGTGAGACTACTTCAGCAAGGTCTTTTTCCGTAGCTAAGGACTGTTTATAGTAAGGATAAACAATTGGGGCTCATTAATTCAATTATTAGGGCACTGATTTTGCATCTATTGTCTACTGTAATCAGCTATGTTAAATAAGCTCTTCAGTCTTCATCAGAGCAATTATGCTAATATGCTTAAAATTTTCCAAGAGTATTAGACCTTCATACACTTATTCTGCCTAGCAGCAGCCTAGCTCAGTCAATATTATCACACACAGGCGATTATTATCAAGGCATTAAGACTCTTTTGTTGACATATGACTACCATATTATCTTCCCTCACAACAGAACTTTTAATAGTTTGTATACTGTTCTTTAAGGATTTAGATATTGAACCTAGTTTAGTCTTTTTCCAAAATATGTAGATCTCAGATAATATTTAGATGTCATCTTGGGAGTGCTCATTACATTGGAATTGTACATTTTCTAAGTAATATATCAATAATCATTGGATTAGTTATCCAATGATCAATTTAYCAATGATTATTTATGCATAGACAAGAAATTTACCAATGATCTTTAAATGTACAGACAAGAAACACATCAACAGACACTTGGAGAATAATGAGATATAGAACTTGCTTTGTCATATATTTTTATTTCACCTGGAGTAACTTCTCTTTCAGTCCTTTTCAATTCTAAAAAAAAMCAAAACAAAACAAAACAAAAAAACCCTACTAGTATGTCTCATTTTCTTGATTGACTTTGGCCAAAGAATGAGTTTTACACTATGATCAACCAATACTTTTGTGGTAGGCACATTACAGATACCAAATGAATACCTGTTGAATTTAATGTTTCTTCTTGGACATGCCTTGTTCTTGTCTCCAGCATTCCCATCAGATGTTAAATACTATTTTTAGCAGAAGCTTGCATATAAGGAGTGTGTGTGCTGTGTAGAGAGAGGCCTTTGCCCACATTATCTACATAAATTCATAAAAATATGAAATTTCATTGCATTGATGAATAAATCCAGCTGTTGCTGGATTTCTTAATTATCATTTACAATAAAAGTAATTACCTAAGTTGTTCTCTGTTTACTCAGGTTATCTCATGTAATGGTTGTCCTTTCAGTTGGAAATAACTGAATCTTCCTGTAAGAAGTAATAATGCTCACTGCAACTTAGTTCCACCAGGATGAGCAAACAGAGCACGGAGACCCAGGAGCTGTATTAATTACAAACTGGAAGGATGGGGTGCAGAATACTTACACATACCATATCCCCGCCCTCCCTCTCCCCACAGTACAAATGCTGTATTTTACCTTTCTTCAGTTCCTTAATATTTTGGTAAGGGTGTAAAAAGGCAACCGAGAATAAGGTGTTCTTGGCCTTCAGGAACTTACAATCTAGATGTGGAGACAAACTATACACACGAGAAGCTAAGAAACTGCTCAGGACTAAACTAATGGGTCAAAAAATTATCAAAGTGAAGTCACTGCAAAAGTATATTTTAGAAAAAAAAGGCATAGATAAAGTGATATAGATTTGGGATGGGGTAGCCAGGAAGGGATTTACAGTTTTACCAGGAGATAGAAGATGAGTTGCCTTTTRAAAAATCAACATATGAATATTTTTTAAGAACCAAACTACAGGGGCTGGGGATGTGGCTCAAGTGGTAGCGCGCATGCGTGAGACATGGGCATCGATTCTAAGCACCACATAAAAATAAAATATAGATATTGTGTCCACCTAAAACTAAAAAATAAATATTGAAAAAAAATTTAAAAAAACACCAAACAACAGGAGAGCTAATTATAAAATTTAAGTTTTATACTCATGATCCTCAGGCTCTTTCCAGAAGCAATCAGGATTACCATTTTTCTTATGTCTTTCTAGTGCATTTAACTACCTTTAAATGATTCTGACTTGATTCAGGCTTAACTGATTTTTCAGTGGCAAGAGTAATAAAGGGTTAAATTTGTTGTTTATCCATACAAAAATCAGACTCACTCAATATAATTTATACAATAGGGACCTACTGATACATCTTCAGGTACCCTGGTGGATTTCCAAGCTGATTGTTGCCATGGCAATCCCTGCTCTATGTGCCTTCAGTTTCTGTCTTGACCCACTTTGGGTTAGATGCATTCCAGCTGAGGGACAGTAGGCATGTTCCCATTTCTATGCCCTTTGGGGGAGTGTATTAGTAGCCAGACTGCCCCTCTTCTTCAATCTTCTAGATCTTGGAAGGTTTCCTACATGGAAGTTAGACTCAAAATCTGAAACTTTTGAGGGATGGTCTAAGAAAGACCTCAGACATATTACACACTGAATTAGTATACCCCAAAGTAACTAATTCTCATTCTAGGAGCAGATTCTTCTGAAATTTCATCTAACCCTGCTTTTGTATCTATTCCTACCAATAAGGTGGACACACGAATCCACACAGTGGAAAATATTTGTGACTCAAGGTAGCTTTTAATAGTCCATTTCATATTGAACCAGACGACTTATCATCAGTATGAAAAAGGACCTAAAGCCTGAACCAGTTTCCTACTTTTAGGAACAGACTTGGTCCTGTTCTCCTCAGTGGCTTTGGAAGGTGGTAAGAGAAGGCACTGGAGGTGACTCAGCTGCACCCTTTAGCTTCCTGGGACCCTGTCACAAACTATTTTTTTAGAAAGGATTGTTAGGCCTGCCTCTAAAGTGACGAGAGGAAAATACCCTGGAAGAAAACTTTTCAAGGAAAATTTCTGCTGAGTGGATTCATCTCGGCATGTCTGTATGCAACAGAAATGGAGGAAAGTTAATGATGTTGATGTTCCTTTAATTTCAAAGTCCTGTGCTATGCATTTTCACATTATTTCATCATCACACAACTATATTTAAGTAGTTATCACTTTAAGTGAGCTCCACTTGGCTAAAGATCTGAAACAGAGCCCCATTCAAAACTACAATTGGCTTAGGTCCAGGGTTGGTGCTCTTTATCACAACCTCCCCACAAGTAGTACTTCTGTTTGAAGACACACAGTAGAAATGAAGATTTTGAAAGAACACCTGGAAAATCTGTTACTCGGGGAATAGCCAAATATTTTTCAAGGTCCATTTGAAGATGCCCTCCTCTGGAATATCTTCATATCTGAGGAGAAGGAATAGACTCAAAAACTCTTACTGCTATGAATACTCAATTCGGTACTTCCTGATTACAGACTTGTATTGCCCATGCTGCTTTCCGGCTTAATTAGACTCTCCTAGGCAATTTATCAAGTACCTAGGAATAAGTGCTGAATGGGCAGCTAAGAAAACTGTACTCTAGGCCCGTCTRWGTCACCAACTACCTGTATGAGACCTCCTTAGTTCTGCCTGACACAGTAGGTGCTTAATACCTGATATGATTAGTTGGGCTTAATGTTCTGTCAGCAGGGGCTTGGGTGTCCCTAACTTTTTAAAAAGCAACAACTTCCCTGGCGCAGCTGTAATTTTCGGGCCTTGCTGCCTGCCTCCTGTAGGGCAAACATACGAAGTTGGGGCCTGGGAACATCCTCTGAACAGTAGAAACGTTAGGGAAGATAAGCAATTAAGGCAATACAGCAAGGCGCTCATCTTTTAGACTTCACGATGACCACTTGGAGCATGCACTGTTAATAGTACTTTTACTTGTGCGGCGACCAAGATTCAGGTTGAAGAAAATTACCTGGCAACTCCCGCACCCTAGTCTCGGAACGCGCTTAAAAGACCCCGGGTCCCGGCTTATTTACAACCTGGCCCCGCCCCCGTCTCCAGCACGAGGGTCCCGCCCACTCATTTGCAAAGGGCGCGCCCTGCACGCGCCGGGCACTGGGCTTCTCCAGAACCCTTTCTGCCCCAAGCGCGTCTAGTTCTCGAGTGGGCGCGAGGTCTCCCCGGGGACTAAGCACGTGTTCGCTCCCGGCTTCACGACGGATAACAGACGGAGCGGCTGTCCCGGGAAGGCCCCACCCAATGGCGCTAATAGCCATAGGGGGTTCGGGGTCAGGTGGTGAAGAGGCGTCGTGCTCTCAGTCCTCCTAAATCCCCGCTTCTCTCCCCAACCCCTATGGGAGCGCGCCGAAGACCAACTCAAGCGAAACCGCGGGCGTCCCACCCCGCGCGGCCGCGCCTCGCCTCACGTTCGACGGGGGAGGCGGGACCAATCAGCGAGCTACGTCTCCCTTCCGATTCGAGGCCCCCGACGCGCGGCTCACACCCCGAGCTCCCCCGCGCGCCGATTGGCTGMGCGCGCCGCCGGTCCGGCTGGGAGGCGGAGCGGGCCGAAGGCAAAGAGAGGTGGGGAGGCGGTGGCCCGCGACTCCCCGCGCACCGCTCGGCCCCCGGCCCTTCCCGCAGCGCCCGGCCTCCTTCCTTCCCTCCTCCGCTCCCTCCGTCTTCCGTGCGCGCTCCGCGCAGCGCTCGGCCGGCGTGCCTCGCGCCCTAACGGGCGGCTGGGGGCGCCAATCAGCGGGCGGCAGGGTGCCAGCCCCGGGGCTGCGCCGGCGAATCGGCGGGGCTCGCGGCCCGGGGTGGGAGGCGGGTCTACCGCGCGGCAGCGGCGGCGGAGGAGCAGCGAGCTTGCAGCCCGCGAGTGCCGAGCGAGCCGCCCGGAGGTGGGTGCGCTGCGGCCGGCKGGCGAGGCGGAGAGCGGAAGCGGAGGTGGGCCGGCGGGTGAGGGCGCGGCCGTGCGGGCGCCGGGAGGGGCGGCGGGCGCGCGCCTGAGGGGAGGAGGGGCAGCGGGCGTCCCCACCCCCTCCTCCGCGGGCGGCGGCCGGGCCCCTTCCCCGCGCGCCCGCCCTCCCTCCCTTCTTTCCCTGTGCGCCGGGGCCGCCCGCCGGGCACGGGCCGGGGGGCGGGGGCTCTGGGGCCGAGAGTGTTGTCAGTTCCGCCTTCAATCGCCCATTCCCCTCTTCCCCTCCCAGCCCCCTCCATCCCATCGGAAGAGGAAGGAACAAAAGGTCCCGGGCCCCCCGGATCTGACGGGGCGGGACCTGGCGCCTCGGTGCAGGTAAAGCCTGGGCGCCCGCTGGCCTCGCAGGGGTGTGTTTGTGTGCGGCCGCCGCCGGCRTGTCACATGGCCACGGAGGGTGGGGGCTGGGTGTGGCGGGGCCGTGGGCGCGCGGGCCGGGGTCGGCGCCGGGGGAAGGGGCTCTGCGCCCCAGCCTAGCCCGGCCGGGCGGACTCCCTCTTCCCTTCCTTTGCGCGGCTTTCACGCTCGGCACTTTCTGGTTCTGATTTCCAAAGCCGAAGGGCCAGAGCTCTTGTTGCAGGAGTTGGGAAGCCGAGTTTGGAGCGTGTGCTACTTTGCTTCCACTTTTCCCCGTCCTGTAACCTTTGTTAACCATAATAGTCGTGGGTGCTGAATAGTTTGTGTACACTCACACAGACGCGCTCACGCTGATACTCTGCGGGGACCATCCTTAACGCACTTGTGAAAGTTGYTCGGTGGGTGCAGCCTATTAGATTTTTTTTTTTTTTTTTAAATCACATGCCTTTAGAAAGCACGCTGATTGATTTCACCAATTTCAAACTTGGTTTTCAGAATGGCAGCTTGAATTACTTTGTTTTCTTCTGAGGAACACTGCCCTTAGGTCAGGTACTTTTGTCTTTTACTTACCCTTTCGTGGTTACGGTTTCCTTCTGATCCTTAAACAAAAGGAAAACAACACCTAGGTTGGTTTTGTTATTCCTTTTGACATAAAAGCTAAGTGCTACTCATTTGGTTGTCAATCAAAGCTTTATTTTAAAAATCCAGGTAAAACGAATTTGGAAGCAACATTTTTTTTTTTTTTTTTGTCAGTAATTTTGGATCATCCTAAATTGTGGCTTTTAAAAATTTTAAAACTATGTGTGTAAAACAGAGTAAACTTACGTGGAGTAATTTTCAAAAATGGTTCCTGAAATATGAATTGATTTCCAAAATTCCTTTTCATTTTCTCGCATGATTTCATATGAATTGAATGTATACCACTGATAAGCTCAAAGAAAGCCATTTAATAGGAACATAAATTTGCTGTTATGTTAAACATGTATTGGCTGTTATTTAACTTTTGATCCCTTTGTTTTAGAAGTTTCCTTTTTAAAGAGACGTGTTGGCCAACAGTTAAATGAAGTGTGAAAGTTTTTGATGTGAGAGTCAGTACAGCAAAAGTAGCAGAGATGGGAGGAATGTAAAATGGATTTCATGAAAGTATCAGTTTGAGAATTTTTTAATTTGCTTTAAGAAATGATATAGAATGTTTAAATAATTTTCTCTCAAAAGATCATTTAGCAAATGTTCACATTAAATTCAGAAAATAACACTGATTTTATTTTTAAAGTTCCTTAGTTTTTGCTATAATTTAGCTGTGGTAGTGGTAAATAGAAATAGTTCACTTATTTGGGCTTTTCTAAGGTGCCCACTTAAAGGCTTAATTTTAAAATCTTGTGGATTTATTTGAGTTTAGGGAAATTCATTGGCCAGGTTTAATTGATGTAGTGTGGTTGCAAACACCCACATATATAATATAATTTTTTTTGGTAAGAAATTGCTAGTACATTGTGTTTTTTGTACTTTGTAGCTACACCTGTGATTTGACAGTATAGTTCTTCAACAAAATTTGTTTTATCAAGGTTGTAACTTACCTGTATCTAACTCTATACAACCTGTAAGGTTTGTGAAGTAATAGTCTCATAAGAAACTGCAGGGTAATTTCCTGATTGTGGTTTGTCAGGTGTGGTACATATTTTAACTCTGAAGTTAGARGAGAGGGGATGGTTTAGTGTATTTCAACAGTTCTCCTTAACAGAAACAAAGGTTGTTTCTACTCAAAAGAGCAATAGGTGCCTTTTACATTTTCATATTGTAAATATTAGAATAATGTCATAGTCTTATTACTTCACATTGAGATTGAAGCTTTTATATTGTAAGTAAAACAATTTAGCTGTATAAACTGCTGGTTAAGGACCTTTTGAATTTTTATGTTTTGTAAATATTGTCAATTTWAAATTTTAGGTGTAAAAGTTTTCCTTATTGTTTGCTTTTGATTTTGTTGGTATTGTGCTTTAGAACTCCAGAAACTGTTTTGTAGCAGCATTTTTGTACAGGTGTTTGTGTAATGTATATAAAGGCTGTATATAGTGGAGTCTGGCAGATGGAGGTTTGTTCATACTCTTGGGACAAGAATCATTTTTAGAGGGTGGAAAGGGGCATGTGTTTTTAGATTCTTTGCCTTTTGGTAGGAGAGGTTTTTTTTGTTTGTTTGTTTKTTTTAAGGCCCTTTATTTCGGTAAGGGGAAAGATGCTTTCCACTAAGTATTACAAAGGTATATCAGAAAATGTGAAATTTAAGGATTTCAAAACAAGTTCAGAAGAGGATACACATTTATTTAACAAGTAATTTGTAGTTATTGGACAAATAGCATTTATTCATTTGAAACAGCTTTTTCTTTGTCAGGCCCTGGTCTAAGTAATAAAGCTTCTGACAGTAAACAAGTACACCTCTGTTCTTAATGGAATTAGGAAAGTAGTAACTTCTCACATCTCTTGCTTTAGTCCCCAGTGGTTAACATAAGAAAATTAATTGTATTAGTGTACAGATTGGAGAAGCATGCAGTAATTCATTATTGGGCCAATTCCTAAAATGTACTGCTTTCTGTCAAATGTACAGAAGTGGGGAAGATTTGAAATGTTAACAGTATCACTGGGAACAATTTGTGTTACACCTGTCACCATTTTTGCAGTCTGTATACTGAAGATAGGGCCAGTTTTTCAGAAAGGTGTTTGTTGGTGAACAGATGTGCAGTGGTGGAGCTAAGTTTGATAAAGCCTCCGTTTGGTTAACCATTGCCCTTTAGTTACAGAAAATGGTAAAGGAAAGAAAGCAAACTTCAGTTAGTCAGGTTCCAGTGAAAGGATGAGGAGTAATACGTAAAAATAATTAAATCAAGAATAATTGGGTAGCGATCTGATGTAGGGGAAATGCCTTGGATTTTGAATCTTAGGCTAATATGTGGCTTCTTGGTTTCAATAATGGGTAAATTACTTAATTCCAGAGTCTTATTTTCTGACTGAAAATGGAGCTAATGATGTCTTTTTCTTATGGTTATTATGAAGGTTCAGTATTCRTGGTTAAAGTACCTAGAACATTGCCTGAGACATAGGGCCTTCCCAAATAATCTCTTCCTCTCTTCTAGTTGTGGGTTTTTGTAATTTAGACTCTTTCTGATCTAAATGATTTGCCTACACTSTTATCCTTGACCTATTGTAAAAGGCTGTTGAGAAGCAGACACTAAGCAGCAAAGGCCTGGGGTAGCTAGACTGTCCCAGTCTTACCTTAAATTATAGGAGAGCCCTTGAGATCCTTAGTCAGAACTTGTTGGCCTTTATTAAAATGTTCCCAACAAGCAAAGTTTATCTGGCTTCTAAACCCACAGTAGATTAGAAACCAGTAGATTATGGGTAATGTGGGAACTTTTAAYAGAGGTGTGGTGGGGAGTAGATAGGAGAATGGGGAACTGTTAGCTTACTGCCTAGTGTAAGGAAAAAAACAAAAACAAAAACAAATAACAGCTTGGTAAGGATAATAGAGGTAATCTACAAGACAAAAATATTCAAAGCTTGACTAGCATGTCTGGGGCCATGCAGTGCAGGACCAGACCTGAAAGTCTAGTAATGAATGTTCATCAATTAGCTTAAGTCATGTTTGGGAAAACCTTTTTAAGAGTGTAGTAATCTACGCAACATACTTCAGGTTATTATTCAGGATGATTAACCGAAGTTCTTAAGGGGTTAGAGCATTGTACTATAGCAAAGGCCTTATTTTATGAAAGATCCACAGTATACTGTGACCAAGATGTTTCACCTTTGTTTTGCCATTCAGAGAACCATGGTTCCAGACTGAAAAGTCTTCATGCTAGCCTCTAGTAGAAGGATGACCTTAGTGGTACAACACCCTGTGCCATAACTTTTCTTCAGAGTAAATCATTCTTTTTGTCAGTGTGCAGCAGTGTCACTTGCACATTTAGACAGAATGTGCTAGAGATTTCCAGGGTAGAGTAAGTGGGGACAGTTGGCCATAGTCTGTGTTGTGTCTTTTGCCCATTAGTAGTTTTGATAATTTATTTGGATCCTCCTTTTTCTTACCTCAGAGTTATTTTCTAGCTCATCTACTTAATCAAATAATTACTAGTGACCTTGAAATAGGTAGTCTTGGTTAGTTAAAAAAAAATGATTCATTTTTAGCAGTAGTACAGAAGCAGACAACCTTTTCCATTGAAGAATGCACAGAGGCTTATTGCTTATCACTGATCAATTTCGATTATTTCTAAAGATTGGTATAGTTACTTTTTTCTTATATGAAGAACTGTCTAAAATTTTAAATTCCTTTTAGGTATACATGACAGAGTGTATTTTGATGTATTATACATACATGGAGTATAACTTCCCATTCTTGTGGTTGTACATGATTTTGGTATAATTATGAGGCATTCAGTTAGGATATATTTCAGTGCTGATTCTAGATTTACATCTCAAAGGTAGCTTTCAACATCTATTCAGCAATTTGATGTAGAGAGAATATAATTTTTCCAAACCAGGTGGATTTAGACAATTACTACACTCTTAGACAATATCTCTAGTTTGGTCACATTAGCTAGACATATTAGGGTAATTCTGTGACTTCCCTGCTTGGCTCACATTCTGGAGTGTGAGTGATTCTGTTTAGTTAAAACTGAGCCATACTGTTAAGACAGGTGCTTGGTAATTTAGATATATATCTATGTTTGTACTCTTAAATCCTGACATGTTTTATTCTTACTAAAATTTGTGAATTTACTGTGAAATTGTCACTAATTCTTCCCCATCTGTAATTTTTCAAAATCTAAGATTATGTTGGCCTCAGCACTGTGGAGCAGTGGAAAGTGAGTATAGACTTTTGTCTAGTTTGCATCTGAAAACTTGGGATTTCTTTGAATAATCTTCAATGCTCAATATCCTTCCTTTTTGGGGATAGTGTCAGGTTTAAGATA